CAAATGGAATTTATCCTCACAAATTGGTGTTTTAAATGTCCTAATAATCTAATTAAATAACTGATTGCCTTTAAAAAAAATTGTTTAAAAGGGCACTGTCGCCGGGCGCGGTGGCTCACGCCTGTAATCCCAGCACTTTGGGAGGCCGAGGCGGGTGGATCACGAGGTCAAGAGATCGAGACCATCCTGGTCAACATGGTGAAACCCCGTCTCTACTAAAACTACAAAAAATTAGCTGGGCATGGTGGCGCGTGCCTGTAATCCCAGCTACTCAGGAGGCTGAGGCAGGAGAATTGCCTGAACCCAGGAGGCGGAGGTTGCGGTGAGCCGAGATCGCGCCATTGCACTCCAGCCTGGGCAACAAGAGCAAAACTCCGTCTCAAAAAAAGAAAAAAAGGGCACTGTCAAGAAAGTGAAAAAACAAACTACAGAATGAGAGAAATATTTGCAAATCATATTGCTGATAAGGGTCTAGTATCCAGAATATTTAAAGAACTCTTAAAGTTTAACAATAGGCCAGGGCCGGCACAGTGGCTCACGCCTGTATTCCCAGCACTTTGGGAGGCCAAGGCAGGTGGATCACCTGAGGCCAAGAGTTCGAGACCAGCCTGGCCAACATGGTGAAACCCCATCTGTACTAAAAATATAAAAATTAGCCAGGCATGGTGGTGGGTGCCTGTAGTCCCAGATACTCAGGAGACTGAGACAGGAGAATTGCCTGAACCCAGGAGGCAAAGGCTGTGGTGAGCTGAGACCGCACGACTGCACTCCAGCTTGGGCAATAGAGCAAGACTCCACCTCAAAAAGGTAAATAAATAAACAGGCCAGGCATAATGGCTCTTGCCTGTAGTCCCAGCTACTTGAGAGGTGGAACTATTCGCACTACCAGGCCTGGCTAATTTTTGTATTTTTTTGTAAAGACCAGATTTCACCATGTTGCCAAGGCTAGTTTCAAACTGCTGGACTCAAGCAATCTGCCCATGTTGGCCTTCCAAAGTGCTGGAACTACAGTCGTGAGCCAGTGCACCCGGCTGTATGATTCCATTTATATGAAGTATGCAGAACAGCTAAACCCAGAGAGACAAACAACAGATTAGAGGATATCAGGGAATAGGATGAGAGGAGAACAGGAATTAACTGCTTAATGGGTAAGAGATTTTCTTTTCTGGTGATGAAAATGTTTTGGAACTAGAGAGAAGTGGTGGTTGCAAAATATTGCAAATGTACTAAATGTCACTAGGTTCACTTTATTGGTTAATTTATATGATGTGAATTTGATCAGTAAAAAATCAAGAATGAATCAGGTGTATTCTAAACATTCTTACTTCTAAGTGGCAGTTAAACAGAATTCAATTGTTAAAGGAGACTCAAAGACAGTGCTTACAAATACACAGTCATTATAAGAAAAAGGTTTCATGTCATAACCATATTAAAGTTGAAGATACTATCACAGCCCATGGCTGTCTCACAGCAAGGAGTCTGCAGAAGCCAGGTGCACGTTCCTGTTTTCCTCCTAGGTAAGGGCTTGGTGGTTCTCTCACAGACCAGGAACCAGTGATGAATGCCCAGAACACCTCAGAACCCAAGAGCCTAAAATGGAATCTCTGGATTTTTAATTTTGGTCACATAGGCATATCCGAGCTACGTAATAGGAAAACCCTCTGATGAGCACATGGAGACCCAGTACAAAGCATTGATCTGTTATCAATACTGACAAGCTGATACAGACTGCTCTGAAACTCTCTGCAACACTGTTTATCAGTATGCTCCAGGCCTTGGCCGGAATCAGTGTCATGTAGGAACTTCAGCAAAACAGCTCAGGCTAATTGTATACCTTGCTGGAATTAAGCCTTACAGCGTAATAGCACGCAACCATTTGAGGCCTGCTTTTCTATGTTCTACATTTAGTCTTCCCTAAGTTAAACGTTCTTGTTTTTCTTAACCATTCCTCATGTTATATTTCCCCTCATTTTGGTAACCTTCCTCTATATGCTCTCTAGTTCATTAATACCTTTCAAGTACAATGTTCACTGCTCTAGCCCCAGCCAGACAAGCAGAGACTACTTAATACTTATATAAACGTGATGGATGTACATGTGTGTCTTCCTTTAAATCATTGATTTTTAAAATAAGGAAGCTAAGAAAAGATCTGTGGGACAATATTAAGGGCTCCCTCCTCGCCTTCCCAGTCTCCCCCTCCCTCCTTCTGCCTCTCTCTGTCACACACACACACACACACACACACACACACACACACACACACACACAACTTTCATGAAATTGTTTGTGAAATGCTTTTTCTCTCTACTCTCCCTTCTCCATTAGCTTTCCAATGTTCATTTGACCGTGAGATTCAGGGTGAAATGCAAAGAAAGCCCATTTGACATTTTTTAACAATCAAAATACAAACATTAAGTGGCTCTTAATCAAGTAAGAGTGTCAGTTGTTCATTGGGAGTACCGGCTACATTGTGACAGGACAATCCTAAGAAGTTCCAGTCATAAAGTCTTAACTCTTAAACAAATAAAAGAACAAAGAATAATAATTAAAAAAAAAACCTCTAACTCTTGATCTTTACTGTAAGGACATCAAGCATGTAGTAAGGATAGGCAGCATTTGAACTACATCATATGTACCCGGAATGCTCTGTAAAGAAATTGACTCATAGGAGGTACATTCATTACAAAAAGAAGTAAAGCAAGATTAGGCATTTGATAACCTAGGAAGAGTAACTTTTCTGTCCTGTTTAGGCTGCATAACAGTGTGAAAGAGTCATGACCGTCTTGGCACAATGGTGTGCACCTATAGTCCCAGCTACTCGGGAAGCTGAAGCAGGATCACTTGAGCCCCTGGAGTTTAAGGCTGTAGTGCACCATGATTGTGCCTGTGCATAGCCGTGTTGGCCAGGCTGGTCTCAAACTCCTGGCCTCAAAGTCCTGGGATTACAGACGTGAACCACCACACCCAGCCCTTTAATTGATTTTAGTTGCTCATTATCTAGCAGATTTACTGAGTACCAACTATGTGCCAGGCACTGCTGTAGGTTCTGAAGATACAGTAGTGAGCACAATAAACTATCCATGCTCACCCTCCTCAGTTTTACATTCTGGCGGAGGAGAGACAGTAAACAAAGACTTAAAGTCATCTGGAATTAAATGCTATGAAGAAAAATCAAGCAGTGAAGGGAGATGAAGTATGATGGAACGTGCTAATTTAGATCGGATAGTCAGGAAGGGCCTCTGAGAAGGAAAGATTTGAATGAAAAGAGGGAGCAAACTATGTAAATATTCCCACCGTTGCCCCACTTGCTTTTACTCGATTGGGCATTTTAGCAATGCTATTACCTCATAGTAAGAAATATTTTTGTTTGTTTGTTGTTGGACTTTCGTGTTTTGGGGGTTTTTGTTGAGACAGAGTCTCGCTCTGTCACCCAGGCTGGAGTGCAGTGGCTCGATGGCTCACTGCAACCTCTACCTCCTGGGTTTAAGCAGTTCTCTGCCTCAGCTCCCAAGTACCTGGGATTACAGGCACCTGCCACCATGCCTGGCTAATTTTTTGTATTTTTAGAGAGACAGGGTTTCACCCGGCTGGTCATGAACTCCTGACCTCAGGTGATCCACCCTCCTTGACCTCCCAAAGTGCTGGGATTACAGGTGTGAGCCACTGCACTTGGCCTGTTTTTTTGTTTTGTTTTGTTTTGTTTTTTGTTTTTTTAAGAGAGATACTGTCTCACTATGTTGCCCAGGCTGGTCTCTTGAGCTCAAGTGATCCTCTCACCTCAACCTCCTAAAGTGCTAGGTGTGAGCCACCCTGGGAGACTGAAAAAATTAAAAATCACAAAAAAATTTAAAAATCAGCTGGCCATGGTGGTGTGTACTTGGTAGTCCCAGCTTCTTGGGAGGCTAAAGCGGGAGTCACTTGAGTCCGGGAGTTTGAGGCTGCAGTGAGCTCTGATCACTCCACTGCACTCCAGCCTGCGGGACAGAGTGAGACTCTGTTTCAAAAAAAAAAAAAAAATGCACACACATGTGGTTGTCACAGAGAATCAATAAAAGTACTCACACTATAGGCCAATGGTTCTCAGTGAGGGAGCAGTTTCGTGCCCTAGGGGACGTTTCGATAGTGTCTTACTGTCATAATTGGGAATGCTTCTGGCATCCTACGTTGTACAGGACAGCTCTCCCGCAAGGAATTATCTGGCCCCAGATGTCAGTAGTACTGAGGCTGGGAAATCCTGCTGTAGACTAGACCATTCACTCTGTAATTTTATACATGGGGCTGTTGGGGCATCTTGTTACATAAATAACGAATGTATATCTTAATATGTTTGTGCTGCTATAATAAATTATCTGAGACGGGATAATTTATAAGCAATATAAATTTATTTCCTCATAGCTCTGAAGGCTGGTGCCAGCAGATTCAGTGTCTGGTGAAGGGACATTTCGGTTAGATGATACCGTCTAGGTATCCTCATATGGCAGAAGGGACGGAAAATCAAGAGGGATCAAACTCACTTCCCCAAGCCCCTTTATAAGGTCACTAATCCCATCTATGAGAGCAGAGCCCTTGTGAGTTAATCACTACCCCAAAGGCCCCACTTCTTAATATCATACGTGGGGCTATTGAGGGATCTTGTTACATAAATAACAAGATCCCTCAATAGCCTCATGTATGATCCCTTGTATGGGATTAAATTTCAATGTGAATTTTGGAGGAGACACATTCAAATCAAAGCAGTTTTCATGTTGCTTATTTTACCATTCCACGTATATTCTAAGTGGAAAAGTTGAGTGCCCTTATACTAATTCTGTCATCAAATATTCCTGAAAGCAAAATTTTTTCCTTTCAGCAATCTATATTATTATACCCAGTAAGTCACAACTTCAGATTGACAAAATTGTGGGGAAAGGTGCTTTTCATTTAAGTGCCAGTATTTCGAATGTTTGAGTAAGCAATACAGAATGAGATTGTGTTCTTTTTATCTTTCTTTCTTTTTGCAGGCTTTCATAGAGACCATGTTTGCCAGTAAAGCCCCTGTGGAAGAAGCCTTTCTTTATGCTAAGGTGAGCTTCAGATGGTTAGAACAGTCTTGTTGGAGGTGAATATAATAAAGTAATTTGATTTGCAGAAATGGCAGTGCAGTCTGCTTTCATGGTAGTCATGACCAGCATGTCATTGGGGAGGATTTGGTTCTGAAATATTACTGGTCATTTATAAGTCTTAAACATACTGTGTTACAATTAAAGGAAGTAAACTGCAAAGTAGAACAGATGATGATGAAGGGAAGATTTAGCAATGTGAGGTGACAAAAGTTATACTGTTTAGGTCAATGTAAAGAAGAGGCTGATACCCAGGCATTGAGCTCGTGTAATCCCAGCACTGTGGGAGGCTGAGGCAGGCGGATCATTTGAGACCAGGAGTTCAAGACCAGCCTGGCCAACATGGCAAAATCCCCCATCTCTACTAGAAATATAAAAATTAGCTGGGTGCGTTAATGCATGCCAATAATTCTAGCTACTTAGGTGGCTGAGATATGAGAATCACTTAAACCGAGGAGGCACAGGTTGCATTGAGACAAGATCACACCACTGTATTCTAGCCTGGGAGACACAGCAAGACTCTGTCTCAAAAAAAAAAAGAAGAGGCAAAGGCCAGGCATGATGGGACACACCTGTAATCCCATTACTTTGGGAGGCCAAAATGGGAGCATCACTGGAGCCCAGGAGTTCAAGACCAGCCTGGGCAACCTTCTGAGACCTCCTCTCTACAGAAATGAAAAAAACAATAGTTGGGCATGGTGGCATACCTGTAGTCCAGTTACTCTGGAGCCTGAAGTGGGTGGATGGCTTGAGCCTAGAAGGTTCAGGCTACAATGAACTGTAATTGCCCAACTGCAGTCCAGCCTGGGTGACAAAGCAAGACCCTGTCTCAAAAAAAAAAAAAAAAAAAAAGTAGAGGCTGAGAAAGTTCTTTAGATAGTGGCAGATACTCACCAACTTCCAGCTCCATCCTGTATCCTGGAACATAGTGAAATTAGTAGGATTGCAGTTTTCCTAGATTCCTTTTTCACTTTTCCATAGTATTTAGATTCATAGCTATTTGAAAGATATAAATTAGAAATTTAGAGCTGTTAAAAATGTAAGCCACATTTCAGTGTTTAGCTAAATAAGAATAAACAAATAGTAACCTTTACGTGATTGTATTTCAAGGCTCAGCCTTCATCATAGTTTTCTGTTTTCTGGACTTAGTTTTAAAATTATAAGAAATTTAGAGAACACTAAGGGAAAAAGAACAGGTTTAATAGGATTGAATAACAGGATTTGTGGTACTAAAAGAGTATATGTACATAGAATATAGTACATGGGGTGAGAATAAAAGCAGTGGACTGAAATTACAGCATAAAAGGTTTGGTTAGATATGATCAATAGTTTTCCAGTAATGACTTAGGTACTGGTATGGAAAAATGAGCTGTTGAAGAGAGCCTGGGCTGGGGCAGCCCTACAGAAACCCTTTGAGTCATACCTTGCCGTTGTTTTTCACAGTTTGAATTTGAATGCCGGGCTCGTGGCGCTGACATCTTAGCCTATCCGCCTGTGGTGGCTGGTGGGAATAGGTCAAACACTTTGCACTATGTGAAAAATAATCAACTCATCAAGGTATGTGAAATGCCCTCAGTGCTACTCCCGCTTGGTCCAGATACCCTAGGAGAAAACCTACTAACTTCATGGTCCCCTAACCTTCAGCTTTCACAAATTAGCTGACATTTAAAAAGTATTGTATTGTTTTACAGACATGATCTCATTTTATCCTAAAATTAGCTCTGTTAGAAAGGAGCGATTATTAACATGCCTGCTTAACAAATGAGAAAAATGAACTTTAAAAAGTAAAACAACATAGGCCTGGCATGGTGGCTCATGCCTGTAATCCCAGTACTGAGAGGCCAAGACGGGCGGATCACTTGAGGTTGGGAGTTTGAGACAAGCCTGGCCAAAATGGTGAAACCCCGTCTCCACTAAAAATACAAAATTTAGCCAGGTGTGGTGACACATGCTTGTCATCCCAGCTATTCCAGAGGCTGAGGCAGGAGAGTTGCTTGAGCCCGCGAGGCATAAGTTTCAGTGAGTCGAGATCACACCACTGTGCTCCAGTGCTCCAGCCTGGGCTACAGAGCAAGACTCTTGTCTCAAAATAAACAAATAAAAATTTAAAAGTAAAATAACATGTTAGTGCAGAGCCAAATATTCTACTCTAAAGCCTCTGCTAATTTCATAATTACTCTCCTTCTCTAAGAACTTGCAGCAACAACAGTGAGCCAAACAGATTTTCAGGGAAGAAAGATTTTAAGAAATCACTATTAGCTGTGAACAAACATATATTTTATGATTTTCTTTCCATGTGGCTATGCAGATGAAGAAATTGTGTATTCCTTTATTAAGTCCATTTCTTTACTGATTTAATATTCAGTAAATCCAAAAGAAAAATATATCAAACGTGTAAATTATACAGCACAATTTAAAAAAAAAAAAAAGGAATACCCATGAACTAAGCATTGAATTTTAGAGCTAGAAAAGTAGGTGATTGTGTTTTTTTTTTTTTTTTTTTTTTTTTTGAGACGGAGTTTCGCTCTCGTTACCCAGGCTGGAGTGCAATGGCACAATCTCAGCTCACCGCAGCCTCCGCCTCCTGGGTTCAGGCAATTCTCCTGCCTCAGCCTCCTGAGTAGCTGGGATTACAGGCACGTGCCACCATGCCCAGCTGATTTTTTGTATTTTTTTTAGTAGAGACGGGGTTTCACCATGTTGACCAGGATGGTCTCGATCTCTTGACCTCGTGATCCACCCGCCTCGGCCTCCCAAAGTGCTGGGATTACAGGCGTGAGCCACCGCGCCCGGCCTGGTGATTGTGTTTGAATGAGGCTCAGCATACCACTGGCATACCAACTTACATAGGATTTTTTTTCTCTCTTTCTTTTTTTTTTTTTGAGACAGAGTTCACTCTTGTTGCCCAGGCCAGAGTGCAATGGCACGATCTTGGCTCACCACAACCTCCGCCTCCTGTGTTCAAGTGATTCTCCTGCCTCAGCCTCCCAAGTATCTGGGATTACAGGCATGCACTATCACACCTGGCCTATTTTTGTATTTTTAGTAGAGATGGGGTTTCTCCATGTTGGTCAGGCTGGTCTGTAACTCCGGACCTCAGGTGATCTGCCCACCTCAGCCTCCCAAAGTGCTGGGATTACAGGCGTGAGCCACCGTGCCCAGCCTTTTTTTATATGCCAACAAAGCAAAATGGGTGTTGGTTTTCTTTTTCTTAAAAAAAATAATAATAAGGCCGGGCACGGTGGCTCAAGCCTGTAATCTCAGCACTTTGGGAGGCCGAGGCGGGTGGATCACGAGGTCAAGAGATCGAGACCATCCTGGTCAACATGGTGAAACCCCGTCTCTACTAAAAATACAAAAAATTAGCTGGGCATGGTGGTGCGTGCCTGTAATCCCAGCTACTCAGGAGGCTGAGGCAGGAGAATTGCCTGAACCCAGGAGGCGGAGGTTGCGGTGAGCCAGATCGCGCCATTGCACTCCAGCCTGGGTAACATGAGTGAAACTCCGTCTGAAAAAAAAAAAATAAATAATAATAATAATACTGATATTTATAATGTGCTAATGTTTACACCTAGTAATTCAATCCCAAGAAGTCTGGTTCCAAAGCCTATGCACTTAAACACTATGTATTGCCACCTTTATTGAGGCACTGTGACTTCATCTGAAAAGTTTTGTTTTGTTTCATTTTTTTTGTTTTGTTTTCACATGCCTCCTGTTTCAAACATCTGAAAAGTTTAGATGCTGTATAGATAAATAGAAGAAACCAGCGATTAATGTCCTTTAAATTACAGCTTTAAAAAAAAAAATACAGCTGGGTGCAGTGGCTCACACCTGTAGTCCCAGCACTTTGGGAGGCTGAGGCGGGAGGATCGCAAGGTTAGGAGTTCGAGACCAGCCTGTGCAACACAGTGAAACCCCATCTCTACTAAAAATACAAAAATTAGCCATGTGTGGTGGCACACACCTGTAGTCCCAGCCACGCAGGAGGCTCAGGTGGGAGAATCACTTGAACCCGAGAGTCAGAGGTTGCAGTGAGCTGAGATCAAGCCATTGCATTCCAGCCTGGCTGACAGAGTTAGACTCCCTGTCAATAAATAAATTTTATATATATATATATAATATATATGTATTATATACATAAAATATATAATATATATTATATATAAAATATACATATTATATATAATATGTATATTATA